CCAAACATAAACACTTACATTAGAATACACTAAAAACAACCACATCAGAATTCAAAGGATCGGGGCACACCGATAACCAAATGGTTACAAAACAAATCAATGCATAGGCCACATAACAAACACACACGTTAAAGAAAATCTGATCATTCCTTCATTTATGAATGAAATGCAGAAACAAGTTAAAGTGGAATCCTCTACCTCAGAACTGCCAAGAACATCATATCCAATCCAAACATTACACACTACAAACAGAAAACTTGGCATGTTTGCAATGTTTCTATCTGAGGGACAGAAGTCACTCAGTCACGTTAATATCTTTACAGCTGGGCATTAACAGAGACATGCTTTTACAGGGAGGAACAGTATATGTAATCCAAGTTCAGTGAAGGCAGAATCCACCCTCTGTACCACACAGAACAATGCACAGTAGCTAAAAGCACAGAATTCTAACAAGGAGAAGAATAGTCCAGCCTAACAGACCACAATTTCTATGATAAACCTGTGACAAGCCTACATTTTTCTAACGCTGCTAGTTATCTGTCTTATTTGCAACTTATTTGCAAAACATGATGACATAACTGTGTCTTATGGTAGCAAGTCCAGTGTGCAACAACTGGCAATAACCCATTTGAGGACACACACAAAAAGGACGTGGCATTTAACACTTCCATTACAGAAAACCTCCAGGGTCTTAGATTGTACCGTCCCACAGAGGTATGCTTTTAAACGCTCTGCACATGGTCTTCAGGTTAATGTGTAGCCAAGCACCAGAACAGGATACAACAATATTAGATGTTAACATATGTATGAGATGCTCCCCAGCAATGTGCAGGAGTTGTAACTGCCCCAGCAGGTCAGCCTGGGGGACAGTTTACATTTCAATCAATGTTCTCATGTGATGTCTACTACATCCAAAGTCACTGAAGCTGAAAAACTACGATTCCAAAGAATGTGAACTGTGTCCCTGAAGGCTAATCTCCTAACTGCATCTCTGTGCTTCTGTTTAAAAACAATGTAACCCAACAGCACTTGTGCACTGAGCATCTAAAAGTGTTTTAAACAAATCTTATTTTACAAATTTTACTGGAAGTCTGTGATGGACACCAGAAATCTGGCAGAAGGTAAATATAGTTCTGTGTGGGTGGGAGTGCTACCAAGAGACAGACACTGGCTGATGGGCAAGATAGAGACACAGCAGAGCTTTAACACACTGAGAAAAAACAGCCAATTAATCAATTAGAAAAAAGACAGAAAATTATTCAGCCCCTATTTTGATAATCGCTCATCAAGCAAAGCTGATCTTTCCAATTTCTTGCGAATTTTACTCAAAAGCTTAAGTGCTGTTTGTATTAAACCTGCTTCATCCTGTTTTATAAAAAAAACAAACAAACACAGGGATTAAAATATCTTCCTGTCTCATGATGGTAGTACTTCTGTTTTTATTTCAGGTGTTGCACTGAATAAGCATTTTGGGGCATTAACAAGAAATAAATATTGAGTTTTTCCCCATTTGCACCATGTGACGCTTCAGACAGCACAGCCACAGTACCACTGCTGACAGATGATGGGCCATCAAAGTACAAGGACCACAATGATGGGTGTAAAAATCAATTGACCACACACAAAAGGTGGTGAGGTAATGCTAGATATGAAAGAGACAGAAGTAGGTTTGTCACACTGCTACAACCACCAAGCAAGCTTTAACTGTGCTCCAATTAGCAATTGAATGATGGGTGATTGACTGAAGAGAGACTAATAAGCACAATAAAACACCTACTGGATGTCATCACTTATTATTAACCAGGGAACCGCCACCCAAACACCTCACGTCCCCGGATGTCTACCGTACTCTACCTTGGACGGTCCAGTCCCCTGGCAGAGACGTCCTGTCCTCCGACACTCTGGGTAGGACGTGAATGCTACCTGACAGGGTCTCAGATGCTTTTCTGGCCAAAGCGAAGATGGGCGCCTGCCATCGCCCGTCTCCTCCACCGCCACCACCTGCTCCCCCCCTCGGTGTGCTGCTAGTGTTAGCTTTATCCCCAGCTCCAGCTTTCTCTTCCTGAAGCCTCAAAATCCCAAACACCTGAGCCTTCTCCTTGCTGCTGTCGCTTTCAGACAGAGCCAGGTCATGCTCGGCGGGCGATGCCATATTCACGTACCTCTAAAATGATTAGCTATAATTTAACTAGAGCTGCTCGGTGCAAAATTTGCCAGTTTCATGCGGTTTACTAGCCGTTAGCGAGCTAGCTTCGATGCACAATTCACCCAGTGACCATTATGACAATCGTCGCATAAAAACACCTGCGATGCCACCAACTAAAGCAATGACCGGTTTAGCTAGTGTAAAAAAATAAATAAATCAACGCTCGTTACTTTTACGGACTCCAAAATGTAGGCGTCGGTTTACATTGTGAACATTAGCGCTTGTGTCGAAGGCGCGAACAAACGCAGCTAGAAAAATGTGCCTTTTCTATAACTACAGCATTGTGATTTTTTTAGGTTTGTTTACAGCTAGCAAACCTGAACGATAGCTGGCTGCTGACAGCCCCGCTGCACCCTCCGGAGGGGCGGTGTCAAACGGCTCACAAGACACAAAAGGCAGCACTACGTCATGATTTCAAAGTTGTGGAGCTGCCGCCCCCTGCTGCTGGGAAAGAGAACTTCACGGCGGCCCGCAGGTGCACTACAAAATACTGTATCACTCAAGAGGAGTGGTAGAGGACGTAGGCTACTCAGAACCAGTGGTGGAAAATACATTTACTGCACATAAGTGCAAATTTGAGGTTTTTGTACTTTACTTGATTAGTTCCATTTTCTGTTACTTCATAATTTCCAAAGTCCTGATTACTTATACTGTAGAATGTAGGATGTTGAACCCACAGAGGAAAATGCTTCAAAACCAACATGAGTCAGAATTTAGTAAAATATAGAAACATAAAAGTGGAAAGAAACAAAAAAAAAAAACACAGAGACACCAGTAAAGAAGGACTGATCAAGGATTCAGTGAAGCAAGCATATTAAATAGAATTTAGGGCTTCAACTAATTATTATTTTGATAATCAGTTCATCTTCAGATTATACTCAATTAATCAAGTCTATGGAATGTAAGAAAATAACTTTGTGGAAAATGCATTCTTTAGGTTTTCACATTGCTCTTCTGGCCAACAGTCCAAAACACAAATATATTCAGTTAAATATAACAGAAAACTTACTAAATTTGACTTAAATGAGTATTTGTAATTTAATTTTTTTAAATTGAATTTTCAACTGATTAACAGACTAACAGCTCTAAAGAATCTAATAACCAGGTTTTAGCAAAACAAGAATAATTCATGACCTATAATGTTAGGGATTATGTTAAAACTTGTCAGACTATAAAAGCCCCCTCACAGACTTGATTGATTGATGAGTTGTTTGAATGTGATTTGTGTTTATAAAAGAGTCGGGCTGATACTGATCAATTGACTGCACTGCACTGGCAGAACTACATGATGCTTCATGTAATAACTACTGTCAACAGGCCTAATGATAACACACACACTACTGTAAAGCTTATATATAAAGCTTAGGGCCAGAGTGGAAAATGTAAAGTGTGTAATTTGCTTGGATCAAATCTTTAGCTTATATAATAAACTGGAATTGATTAGGGATGCTTTTAGCTGCTTGTATGTCGAAAACTAATATCTACTATGAGGAACATTGTATTGAGACCAGGATAAATAATTCAAATAGCAAATTTGAATCTACCTTGGCTGTAGGCTAACCGCTCCATGCTCTCACTATGAGTGATGCCCCAGCGGTGGAGACTCTGAGGAGAGTACATGGTGAGTGGGACTCTCCTCAGCCCACTGCCTTGTTGCAAAGAGGGGTTGTGGGTCCGGGGGGGTGTTGAAGTGGCCTAATGTTGTCTGGATGTTGCTGAGCTGGTGTGATACAGTCAAGTATCCCTGGATTTTCTCATTCACTGGGATTAGATGACCATCCCTGCTAAGCTGTGGTGAACTGATTTGGTGTGTTCCTGTTTGTTCTGGTCCTTTCACTGTTTCAGGATGTGCAGGGCTTCTGTTGAGCTGGACTGGGATACCTGGAACAGAACAGATGTAAGATCTTAAAAACAAAGAAACTGAGAGGAGTCCTCACATAGACATGGTTCTGCCATACATAACACACTTAAACATTTATGACAAGACACAAACCATGGTACATGACAGATGGCTCACCGGGATACCCATATGCACACACTTTTCAATCAGACTTCATCCATCCATCCATTAGCTATACCGCATCCTGTAGACAGTCATAGTGAGGCTGGAGCTGATCCCAGCCTACACTGGGTGAGACACAGGGTACAACCTGGACATGTCACCAGTTAAGGCTGACAAATAGAGCCTGATATTCACATTCACAGTCACCCCTATGAGTAATTTAGTCACCAGTTAACCAAACCTGCATGTATTTGGACTGTGGGAGGAAGCAGGAGTAGAAAACCCATGAAGACACAGGGAGAACATTCAAACTCCACACCGAAAGGCCTTGATCGGCCACAGGGTTTTAACCCAGAACCTTTAAGTGAGAGGTGACAGCGCTAACCACTGCCTCACCATGCAGTGGAAATGGAAAAGCACAGCTGCTGTCATCTACTGTACCCTGATTTCAGACTTCTGAATAGATGCTCACATCTCTGACTTATTCACTGATTCAAACAGAACGAATCAATTAAAATAAGCAAAATGGCTCCTCACTCTGATTACCAACACATTGTTTCAGTGTGTGCTTGTGTAGAATAGATTTAAGGTGTAGTCTCCCAGAGCATCACTCCTCTGCTTCCCCTGTCTCCTCGCTTATCCCTGTATTTAATGTGAAATCACAGTTACCACCAAACATTCTTTACCAAAAAGGAGCTTTACCTTTTTCTGAGCAGTATCTTATGCACCCAGTGGACCTCTGCCTCGTCATAGTATGGCTGTAAAAGACAGCCACGCCAGGCTACACTAAACCGCATTATAAGCTTAGGTTATTTTCCTGTCTCACTGTATCATCTTGTTCGGCTTTTCTCTCTTTCTTTAATGGTTCAGGCTTGACCAGGGTCATGTGATCGGTTTCTCACAGTTCCCTGCTGTGTGTATACTTACCTCTGTTAATTCTCTGAATAGCTGTTTCTCAGTTCAGTTAAGAGAAAACATAATTCTGGCTACTGCTGCTGACTCAATGTGCCCACTTCATTGTTCCAGCCTGACTGTTTTCTACCTCAGTTTTCCTGTGTCTGCGTCTTTGTATTCTCTTATATTTGATTTTCCCTGATTTTGTTTACTCTGCTACCTGTTTGGTTCCTTATCAATGGCACAAGTGTCAGTATTAATACATCAATACATCTGTATATGCCTCGTCATAATTTTGTCTTTTGGCATGTTTGACTGCCCGTGCTGCTTCGAGGCTATTTACACTGTATATTTTCTTCCTGTGTGTCTGCAGGCAACTACCCTTAACACTGCTCCACATGTAAACATTTGCCAATCAGTGTTAGTTTTTTTCTATTTTTCTCTTGAAGTAAGAGAAAACCACATAACCACATTATAATTTCAGAATCTGATACATACAGCCTACAAAAGCTCTTTTGTTTAGCTCTCCATCATTTTCCACTATCCTCTCTGTCCTATCACTCTGTCCTGTCTCGCTGCTCCCCCATCATCTCCGAACCACACCTAAACAAGCACACTACTAAGCACCACTTGCAGGGTGGTATGTTTGTATCATATGGCCGTCTTAATCACTGCAGGAACACGCCCTTCCATGTGGCATATAGCTGGACTAGCCAATCAGTATTCTCCAGTGAGACCTCTTTCCACCAATATGGGTGTGATACTGTTTCGTCGTAATAGCCATCCTTTCATTCTGCAGCAGTGCTGTGTTAGAGTGGTGCTGTGCTTGCAGATACACTTATTTCTGCTATTATTTTGATTAGCATAGAACAAGAAAGTAATTAAAGAGTAAATGTTATCATAGTAGGTGAAACAAAATAAAGTACTATGATTACAACATGTGCATTACCTACACTACTGTACATGTGAAGGTTTATACTAACTATATGTGTCACTATTTAATTATTTAAAAATGCATATTATCATTCAGTTATTGTATCTCACCTCAGATGTGTTGAGTCTTGGTTGTGCAGCTTGCCAGCATCAGTTATCTGGTCCATAAAAAGGTTAAGTCTTTGCTCTGATCCTGTGGACAGACTTTCAGGCAATGACTCGGGGGAAACTGAGCAAGATGAGCTGGATGTTTTTCAATCCCCGTCCAGTTGTAGCAGCTACTGGCAGGATTCAGCGACTCCCAAGTGTCCCATGACAGAGATCTCCGATATTACTTCTACTAAAATGAAGAACAGATCTATCTATAATCATTTCTAAAGGTGCTGCAAGGTTGCAAAATCAACATGAGTGTGTAGTTCTGGAGCAGTAAGCTGGTACATGCTCTGGAGACATCACCGATAGGAACCACAACCATCATCCCACACACCACCCAATGACAAGAGAGCAGGGTGGCTGAGAGAGGGGGAGGAGTTCAGGAGTAACAGCACAGAGAGGAGAGAAAACAGACTGACAGTGAGGAGAGGTAGATGGCAGGGCTAGCAAAGAGGTGGCAGAGAATAAATACACACCCACACATGACAGGATAGTCTACATATGAATGAAATACATGGAGATATGAATGAAGAAATGACTTTTAGTGAATAGTGGGCCGAGACTCTTCTTACCAACCAATCCCTGACTGAGGACTGAATGAAGAGATGGTCAAGATGTTTGTGTGGGAGTGAATTACTCTGCAGCTAACAGAATGAAATGAATGAAATCACTTTGCTAGAAACCAACGATGTGCAAAGAATGAGCAGCACAGCAAAAAGATTTTTGCACCTTTGTATGAATGAAATTTCTTACAATTTGTTGTCGTTTCCGTTAGTCTTAGCATTCATTTGCAAATAGTGTGATAATCCATGCACATCTGGATCACCAGTCACAACACATTTAGCAGCAACTACTCTTAGATTTAGAACACCTTTTTTTAAAAAACAAGCAAAAACAATGGGATGTGAAAACTGTTTCTAGGAGCCAGAATATTTATTTGTAAAATAATTATCCAGTAGAAATTATTACTCCTTTAAGAAAGATAAGATGAAGGAAGCTATTTGTGTACAGTGAGCTCTGTGTAAAATACCCAAATTATTTAAGATGTATCAAACAGCATTGTAACCAGTGATTTTTGCAACAAATATACAGTTTCTGAACTTTCCCATTTTGTATCTCTAAAGTTAAAGAAAACAACTATATTCACATTTGCAGCCATTGATACACTGATCAGCCAAAACATGACCACCTGCCCAATACAGTGTACACAAGAGTTAAAGCTATAGTTGGTTGGCACTCGTGTCACTCTGCAGCTCACTGTGTAACTTCTGGGAATCTGTTTGCTTCCACAGTTCTATTGTCAGGGAGAGTGAAAATGTGTTGACCACTCAGTGAAAAACATATGTAAAAGGAGTGAAAACTGGTCATGAGGACAAATTAGAGATCATTTTTAGACAAAGTCATTGTCCTCCCCACTCTAGATGTGATAGCGCCCCTATAGCTGCTGAT